CTCACGCATTTCTCTGCTCCTTCTGCGGCAAAACTTGAAAACATTGTGTAAATTTCCTGTCTCCAGTTTTTCTCCAATTTTCTTTGGAAGCCGATCAACCTTTTACCCTCCCCATTCCACCAAAAGTGGTGGTCAGAGTTGACCAGCGATCACCATGTGGGGCGTCCAACGGTTGATTCTCATTTTGAAGCTTATTAGACCCCAAACATCACAGGACCCAGGGAAACACGGACGCAACTTGCATCCCTGCTCCTTCTCCGTCTCCTTTGCTGGGGTCTCCCTCATCCCCCAGGCTCCTTTGACATCTCTTTTCTATACACACGGGTTTCCCCAGTAATCTCCGTCTCATGACTTTAAGTTCCTTCTGTAAACTGATGACCCCCAAATTTATATCTCTGGCCTCAACTCTCCAGCGAATTCCAGACTCTGTGTATCCAACTGCCTGCTTCCACATCATCACCAGGATTTGTAACAGACATCTCAAAACAGAATTCCTCCTCTTCTCCCCTCAAAAATCATGCCCCCCACCAAAAAAATGTATGTCTATGTCCTAACCCCCAGAAAGGGTGAAAGTGACCTTGTTTGGATAAAAGGTCTTTGCAGATATGATTAAGGATCTGAAGTTGAGTTCATCCTGGATTATTTGGGTGAGCCCTAAAACCCAAGGAAAAATCTCTCTGAGTGACTGACATCTCACTACCCGACTCCCATCCTGTTGAGCACCACTGATCTCTGGTATTTTGTGACGAAGGTGGGATAGAGAGGAAGGAAACAAAAAAATCACACACACACATACGTGTACACACACACACACACACACACACACACCTCACTCCACTCATTTCTATTCCTTTAGACCTGAATTACAATTTCAGAATCTGTCCCATAAAGATCATGGTCTTCTCACATGCAAATAATTTAAGGAAGACAGGATAAAGATATTTCTAAGAGCACAAATATAATTAAGCTATGTGCTGTATTCTTTTTTTAAATGATTTTATTTATTTGACAGAGACACAGCGAGAACAGGAACACAAGCAGGGGGAGTGGGAGAGGGAGAAGCAGGCTCCCCGCCGAGCAGGGAACCCGATGTGGGGATCGATCCCAGGACCCCGGGATCATGACCTGAGCCGAAGGCAGACGCTTAATGACTGAGCCACCCAGGCGCCCCTAGATGCTGTATTCTAAGACAAGCTTTCTATAAATCATGTCCACACAAAGAGATGCAAGCATATTTTCTCCAAGCCTGTTTCTGATAGAAGCCATAATTAAAACTAGTTTGAAGGGGCGCCTGGGTGGCTCAGTTGTTAAACGTCTGCCTTCGGCTCAGGTCATGATCCCAGGGTCCTGGGATCGAGCCCCACATCAGGCTCCCTGCTCAGTGGGAAGCCTGCTTCTCCCTCTCCCACTCCCCCTGCTTGTGTTCCTGCTCTCGCTGTCTCTCTCTCTGTCAAATAAATAAATAAAATCTTTAAAAAAAACAACAACAAAAAAGACCAAAACTAGTTTGAAGAACTGACACGGTGTGCGGTGCTGAGATTTGTAATCTTTCAGCACGAACTCGAAACTCAAAGATACAGATGTATAAATCCAGCAGAAGATGAAAGGATAAAATTATCACTTACGGAATTGTTTGGGCTGAGAAATGTCAAGAGGACTGGGGTAAATTATCTAGCATGAAATGTGGAAATATCAACCAACAAACCTTTCCACACTTCTTGAGCACTTCACTTGTGCAGGGCTGTCTGCAAAGTAGGGAGGAAAATGGGGGACAGCAACCCTTCCTGTGAGCAAAGCGTTCACAACCTAGTTGGGGAGAAAGAGCAAGAACCTACCTAGCAAGGGCGGACAAGCTGCTGGAGGAATTTCTCCAGAGGAGAGGGAGAGAGGCTGGAACGAGACACTGCTGGAGGGGGGGGGGGGGGGGGGGAAGCAGGGTTTTGGGCGTGCTGCCAAATTGCCCAAGAATGAAGAAAGGGACCTGTGAGTCCTGCTGGAACATTTCAGCCTACCATGGCCCCTTTCTGTATAGTTTGGCTTGGCATTTATCATTATAAATATATATATATACATATATATATATGTTTAAGGGCGCCTGGCTGGGTCAGTCGGTTAAGCATCTGCCTTTGGCTCAGGGTGTGATCCCAGGGTCCTGGGATGGAGCTCCGCGTCGTCATCGTTGTTGTCGTTGTCCTCGGGCTCCCTGCTCAGCGGGGAGTCCGCTTCTCCCTCTGCCCCTCCCACTGCTCGCTCTCTCTCTCAAATACATAAAATCTTCAAGTATACATTATTATTAATGCAGTCACTATGTCTGTGACTATAATCCCCAGATTATATAGTCTATAATCCCCAGAACCTATTTATCTTCCAAATAGAGGTCAGTACCCTTTCACCAACATCTGCCCACTTCCTTTACTTCTAGCCCCTGGCAACCACCATTCTACTCTCTGGAGTCATTACAGATAATTTTTAAATTGTGTGTGTGGGTGTGTGTGTGTGTGTATGTTTCAACCATTTGGCAGTACTCGTGAGCATTGTTAAGAAAACTCTAGACTTTATCCATTTTAAAATCCCTGCCAACTATGGAAGTTAAAAAAAAAACAGTAATTTCATATTGTTGTCTTAATTTGGCTGCCTGGGGGGACTGACAAGCTTTTATAAATACATTGGTATGTGTAATTTTGTGAATCGCCTGTAGATTTCTGTATTGGGGTAGATGAAGCTCTACTGTAGTAACAAGTAAACCCCGAAATCTTAGCGGCGCAACAAAATCCCGTTTCCTTCTCGGTCATGTCACAGTTAATGGGAGTCAGCAACTGTCCTTAGTGCAGCAATTCAGGGGTCCCCACATCACTTTGTGATGCTGCCCCCTGAAACCTGTGCCCCTTGAGGACACCAGTGAGAGCCAAGCGACCGTCATGGTGGCCGCTGATAACTCTAGAGACTGGGGCAAGCTCCAACCTCTGAGAACCAGGAGTGCAGTGGAGGGTAAGACCGTGACTCTGGAAGCTGGTGGGCCAGAGAGAAATGCTATCAAGCCCGGGGAGGGAAAGATACCCGAGAGGACGTGTCATGTCCAGAACTGCCCTGCTGTTTGACGATTCAAATATTTGGGGATTGGATGTTTCTCTGAACTCCTGGCCCCAAACTGCTAGCTTTGCTGGTACTACAGGAAAGCAAATTATGCCAGTCTGCCCGCAGGCCCCGGGGGACGGGGCTTGGCAGCAGGAGCTTGTCAGATCTTCCTCCCTGCTGGCCCCTGCAGGGCCCCGGAAGCAATTCTTGTGAATAGGTTTATTTACAGCGTACACTGTTTGAGCCACCACTTGTTTCCTCGAACAGAAATGAACACTGGCAGAGGGCTCTGGAGGGCTGTGTAAATAGCTACTTTTATTTTCATTTAAGATTTTATTATTCATTTTCTCAAAGAGAGAGAGAGGGAGAGAGCGCCCACAAGCAGGGGGAGCGGCAGAGGGGGGGAGAAGCAGACTCCCCGCTGAGCAGGGAGCCGGATGCATGCAGGACTCTCCCCCCAGCAGTGTCTCGTTCCAGCCTCTTTGGTGAGACCATGGTTCACTTGGGCTTTGGTGAGACCATGGTTCACCTGGTTGAGCCATGTTTAGGTTCAAGACACGGAGACTCAACCAGAGGCAAAATGCTATTCCCATGCTCTACTTTAAGAATTGGTTTTTGAATCTGTTGGTTTCCCTTGTGCACCCTGGCATGTTCAAAAATGGCACTGTTAATATGCAGACTTTTAATGAGAAAAAGTACAAATTGCTGTTGAAAGTAAATTATACTGTCTATGCCACCAATACCTCATCTAGAGAAAAAGGGTGCTCTGAGCATGGGAAGGTAGGTAGAGAGAAATCTAGATCTCTTTGTACACACACACATGCACACACAAGACAGTTCAGTATCTGAGGCATCATTATCTAGGCTTGCTTTATTCCTTCTGAAAATAAAGTATAGTAACAGTAGTATAGTATAGCTATTCTGGTCTCTCTTTACACAGTAAAATTGTAAAACTTAGAATTCAGATTTAACTCTTTTAAAGGCAACGTTAAATTCAGACCGAAACTGCTGGCTCATACATCTAAAATCAGAACAACTTCAACACTTGCATTTATTCATCGTAACGCATGCAGAACTTGGGAGACTACTACAGTGTACTAAGTTACTTAAAAAATATTTAGCCCAAAAGTACATATTGCTTATATCCTATTTGTTTCTCTTCCTGGACAGAGTTACAGTCAATGTGTCCACAGCCTGTGCAAATAAGCTAAGCTTGATGTTCCTTGGCAAGTCATTTGTGTGGCCCGAAGGATAACTGAGCTTACCAGGGCCCAGCCTTTTCAGGCTGTATGTAAAAATCCTGTGCATTTTAACAAGCTGTATTTTTGGATGCAACTACATCACAGGACTTGAAGAAAATAAATCACTATACCAGGAAGCCAAATAATGAACTACCCACCAAATGTTATGATACCCTAAACAGATCTTGCTAAGAAGTCAAACTCCACTGTCCTTCTGTCCTTCGCCTCTTCTGGTCCTCTGCTCCGTCCTTACATCTGTGGTCCTAACTTCAGTGCACTTGGCCACGTGGGGTGCTCGTCAAAGACAGATTCCCTAGACCACCCGACCTTGGACTCTGTGGGTCTGTGGCGGGACCCGAGAATGTGCCTGTGACAAGCACCCCCCAGGTGATCCTACTGCAGGTGATCTGGAATGCTCTCTGGGAAACCATGCTTTAAAGACCCGTCCTTTCCCCTCGGGATCACATGAATTACCCAGACCTCTAGGTACCCACCATTTTATTAATACGAATCTTCCCGAAGATGGTTTCCTCGGGTGCATAATCCGCTTAGCTCGCTTCCTCTCAGCATGCCTGCCACCGAGGAAATCACCAGCATTCAAGGCATGATCAACATTAAAAAGAATTTGGAGTTAGTCATCACTAGTGAATCCCCCCCCCAAAAAATAATAAGCCCAACAGTACGTTCACCTTACTCAGAGGTTTCCAACACATTTTATTTTGTAGACCACTGGTCTGTAGCTTTTGAGGACCAACATCTGTATAAATCCCTAGAAAACGTCCAACAAATGTCAGTTCCGAAGCAGCCTTTCAGGTCCCGCACACCGTACTTATGGCTTGAGTTCCAGCTACACTTGGGAAAAGGCTGCCCTCTGGCTTCTGGTGAAGGGCGGGCGCATCCAAAGGAAAGCCTCTTCGGGGCCGTCCTTTCCGGGGGGTGGGGGGGGTGGGTGGCTTCCTTTGGCAAGAAGAGGATCTGTCGCCAGGGCTTTGGTGCCGTGCCCTTAAGCATCAGAGACTCGCAGGGCCGGCTGCTTTCTCTCTCAGGTGGACACTCGAAGAGTCAGCGCGCTGGTGCTTAGTGACCGCGATCCGTCCTTATGGTTTAGTGGGTTAAAATAGAAGGAAGCCTCTGTTTTTAAGTAACACAGATAAACACCTTTTTAGATCGCCTATTTGTTCTAGCACTACAAAATTTAATTCAAGAAAATATAGGCCCCATGAAAGACTTAAAAGTTTATAAAACTAAAATCTAGTTTTCCCCAATAAATTGTACTTTTAGCCAAAACCCTCCCAATGCTTCTAAAATGATACTAATGGGGGCATCTGATTATACAAGAGCAATAAAAAAAAATTAAATATTTATTTGAATAACAAGTTTCAGTTCGAGCTGCGACGTCGGCAATGCAGATTTTTTAACACAAATCACAAAAAGCGTGCACAAAAAAGTACTGGCGCCAAGGACAAAATAATGCTAAGAATTCGGCTAAAGAACTGCTGAGTTTAGGAAAACAAAAAGCCTGAAATCACTATACAAAATATAAAATGTAGTAACCACTACCATCCAGAGAACAGTCTTTATTATTGATTATATTTCAAAATTATTTGTGTAGTTAATTATAGATTGAGTTGTAAATGAGTATTATACATGAACGCCCTTCCGGAAGGCCAATTCCTTGTTGCACTAGAGAACATCTAATTACATTGCAAAAAGGATCCTTGCTTGCTGTCCGTAAAGAAAACAGTTAATGGTATTACTGTAAATATTAGGAAGGCTACAAAAAAAGTTAATTTCTTTTTTTGTCCCCAAAGTGCTTTCCATGCAGAGTTAAGCACTTGCCTTGTTGAACTGAATACACTACAGGGAAAATGTCCTGGGTCAAAAGAGACGCTCTTGAATGAGAACGCTGGGCTTTACAAAGCAAGGACTGGAAGGAACCATGCAACCCTCTCGCTCTTGGGATAGCACTGTGTCACTGACCAATTCCATCTTTCCAGAATACCATCCAAGACACTTACAAAAGACCAGACTGATAATGATAAATACGCACAAACTGAACAGACACCAAGTGCTATCTGACACCACGACGGGTATGTCTGTGCTACGGGAAAGCACCTTTAAAAAGAGCCTATGCGGCAAGAGATAAGTGTCTAAAGATTCAAAATGAATCAACAGTATTGGATAACAATATAATTCTCAACTCAGAAGCTGCCTCAAGATTAGGTGCATCTTCAGTTAATGTAACAGGAAAAAAAGGCAATGGATTTTATTTTATTAATTGCATCCACTCACAAATCGACCTAAGGTCACCAGATGTGTAGACACAATGAGATTTTTGTGGTCGTTTATAGTCTTTAATTGAAATGATGAAAAAGGAAATAGATCTATTTAAAAACAAAACCAAAGAGCTACTTGGGTCGAGATTAAGAGGTGGCCCCCGGGGTGGGGTTCACGTTCTGAGTGGCCACCTGCGGTGCGACTTCGATGATCCGGGGCTTGTCTATGATTCTGGCCGTGCGATTGCCCTTCTCCACGATCCCAATAATCCATGCTTGGTGGCCTTCCCCGTATTTGGGAGACTTGATCTCTGCACAGAACCGGGCGGCTTGCTCTCGCGGTAAACAGATTAGGAGGCCTCCTGGCAAAGAGAAAAAGAGAAAGGATCATCGTCCGTTGGGATGCCAGGCCGGCAATTTCTCGGCCCCGGGCTTCCCAGGGTACGTTCACCCAGACGGCCCTCTGGCCACCAACCCGTTTCTAAGTGAGCTGCCCTTTCCAGTCAACTGACTTCCCGCAGAGGACACGCTACAGCAACGTGCGGCTTCTTGGTGAACCACTATATTAAAGGGACACACACAGTGAAGCTTCAACTGTGAAAATGACCTCGTGTGAATCACTGCAGGAGGGAGGTTTTGAGGGCGCAGGAACATACGTCGTACCTACTTTCTTCTTCCCACACTGAGAGAAGTATTTCAAACCAAAAGAGAACTTTTCTTTTTTTGACTTGATTTTCTACGTGGATTCCTCCTTTTGTAAAAAAGACTTTGTTTTTTTTTTTTTTAACTTAAAAGTTAAGATCATGAAGAGGTGTATGCCTCAAAGTATTGTGGTCCTGTCACTGGCTCTGTCATCTTCAGAACAGAGAAAGCATAAAGTATGTTACGAGAGCCTCCCTCACGATGTCAGTAGCTAGGACAGAAAATTTTATGTATTCCTAAGTGGAAATAACACAGTCAAGAAAAAAATATGTATCTATACTTTTAACAAAAAGTAAAAACTTCTCATTTTTGAGTAAAGGAAACAATTTAACAGTAATCTCTGCTGACTCCAGGCCCACCAGGCGGTGGGCGCCATTCCAGCCCGATGAAGGACCAACAGTTCTGGTGCCTGCTTGGAACTTTCTTACTAGAAACTGGATTGTGGTTTGTTGTTGTTGTTTTAAGGACAGGAAATTGAAGGGTCCTGTACAGAGGCCATGGGAGGCCTACCGGACAACCGCAGGCCCTCCCAGAGCGCTGGCGGGTGGGCAGGGCTCTGTGGCCCTCGCCTCTGGCTGTACCCCCAGAAGCCCACTGAGGCACTGCTGGCATTCCTGCGGGCCAGGTCTAGGCACTGGTATTTTTACATCCCCAGATGATTTCACTCTTTTGTCAGGGTAGGGAAACTACAAAGTTAGAAAGAAAAAAGAAATATGAAAAACTGAAAAGAGCAGGAGGATATCCAGGGTGAAACATAAGAGTCCAGGTAAGGGGCACTCTGGAGATATCATATACTATCTCATTCTTAAAATAGCAATTTTGCACATTTTCTTCAAGGAAAACATACAGCATGTTCAATGTAACGGAGAGGGAGCACAGTTCATTCAAATGCTAAGTTTCCCATGAAAGCCGAGGAAGGACCCATTTTCCCATATTCTCCCTCCCTCCAGTCCTGCCACCAAACAAAACTGAATTTCACGCTGCTGGATCACACACAGATGGGCAAGAGTCAGGTGACCTGCAGCACCTGGGGGAGCTGACGACATCCGTGCTAAGAAGGCCAAGGTTATCTACCAGCACTGACCTCACACACAGTGGGGTCGTGCTCACGTACTTGGCTTCTTCCTTGTCAGAGGACTTTCCATTAGCCTCGCTAGTTTAATCCTCAGATCTGGGCCCAGGATCCTTGTACCTGATGTCTCCGGGCAGGTCCCGTGCATGAGGCCAAACATGTTTCCACAGGCCTTGCTCACGGCAGCCATCTTGGCCAGGACAGGAAGGTTGTGAATCACGAAGGACACCTCGTTCCTCTGCTGCTTGGCCAGGTTCTGCGCATGACCCAAAATTCCAAAGCCCGTGATGTCAGTGGCGGCGTGGGCATTGAACGTGTGCATGAGCCCCGCAGCTAAGAGAACACAGAGGAGCCGTTTATTATCTGGTGACATAAGTGAAGATGGAGAAGAAAGCCACCCTTCCTCAACTCAAAAATTTAAACACACTTTGATGTCAAAATTCCATTTGTCAGGGAGGTGGCACATTGGAATGAAAATGTAATTTCTAAAAAAAAAACAAACAAACAAAACAACAAAAACCAGAGTGAATTTCTGAAAGCTGATTTCTTTTTTTTTTTTTAAGGTTTTTATTTGAGATAGAGCGAGAGTGAAGAGAGATTGAGAGAGAGGGCACGAGCATGGGGAGAGGGAGAAGCAGGCTCTCCAATGAGCAGGCAGCCTGAAGCGGGGCTCGATCCCAGAACCCTGAGATCATGACCTGAGCTGAAGGCAGACACTTAACCATCTGAGCCACCCAGGTGCTCCTGAAAGCTTATTTCTTATTCTATAAGAACCATTTAGAACTATCAGCAGCTTCAATCAACAGTAATTTTCCAGTAAACTAAAAAAAAAAAAAAAAACTGTCCAGAAAAATCAGATCTAAGCCATCCTAAAATCAAAGAACAAGACTTTTTAAGATGGACCTAAATTCAAAGCACTCTTACTACAAGTGAATTGCCTAAAAGGTTAATTTTCTAATAAAAAAATAGTTCTCAAAGTAGTTTTAGGTTTAAAGAAAATTGAGCAGGAAGTACAGGAGGTTCCCGTATAGTCCCCGCCCCCTTCTCGCATTATTAACATCTAGCATTAGTGAACTACATTTGTTAAAAGTGATAAGCCATTACTGATGCATTATTAGCAAATGAAGTTCATAGTTTACATAGGCGCTCACTCTTGATGTTGTACAGTCTCTGGGCGTTGACGAATGTGTGACACGTATCCATCATTAGAGCATCATACAGACTATTTTCACTACTCTAAAAATCTTGTGCTCTGCCCATTCATTCCACCCCTCCCCCCACTCCTGGTAACCACGGATCTTTTGACTGTCTCCAAAGTAGTGCCTTTTCCAGAACATCAGAATTGGAATCGTAGAGCGTTTGCTCTTTTCAGATTGGCTTCTTTCACTCAGAAATATGCTTTTAAGTTTCCTCCATGTCTTTTATGGCTTGATGGCTCATTTCTCAGAACTGAGTAATATGCCACTGTCTGGATGGACCAGTTTACTTATCCATTCACCTACTGAAGGACTTCTTGGTTGCTTCCAAGTCTTGGCAAATATGAATAAAGCTGCGACAAACATCCGTGTGCAGGTTTTTGGGTGGACAGAAGTTTCAATTCAGTTTGGTAAATACCAAGGAGCACAACTATTGGATCATATTAGTGTTTATTGTTATTACTATGCGTGTTATAAGGACTTTCTCCCAGTCTGTGGCTGGTCTCTTCATTCTTAGTTTCTTTCATGGAGCAGAAGTTTTTAATAAGTCCAATTTGTCAATTTTTTCTTTAATGGACTGTGCTTTCGGTGCTGTATCTTAATAGTCATTACCAAACCGAAGGTCACCTACATCTTCTCTTAGGTTATCTTCTAGGAATTTAACATTTAGCTCTGTGATCCATTTTGAGTTATTTTTTATGAGAAGTGTAAGGTCTGTGTCTAGAGTTGAATTTCTGCCTGTGAATGTCCAGTTGTTCCTGAGCCCTTTGTTGAAAGGATGATCCTTTCTCCATCGAACTGTCTTTCCTCCTTTGTCAAAGATCAAACTCTATTTATGTGAGTCCATTTCTGGACTGTGTATTCTGTTCCACTGACAAATCTATTATTCTTTGACCAGTATCACACTGTGGCGATGACTGTAGCTTACACCGTCTTCCAACTGGGGTGGCGTCCATCCCCCAACTGCTCTTCTTCAACACTGTGTTGGCTGTTCTGGGTCTTTCCCCTCTGTATATAAACTCAGAACCAGTTTGTCAATATTCACAAAATAACTAGCTAGGATTCTGAATGGGATTGCACTGAATCCATACATCAAGTTGGGAAGAACGGACATCTTGATGATATTGAGTCTTTCTATCCCTGGACCTGGAATACTTCTCCATTTATTTACATCTCTTTGATTTCTGTCATCAGTTTTACAGTTTTCCTCATATGGAGCATGCACATACTTTGTTAGATTCATACTGAAGTATTTCATTTTGGAGGGAGTAACTGAAAGTGTAAAATTTTTTTTTTTTAAAGATTTATTTATTCACTTGGGAGAGCAAGAATGAGAGAGAGAGTACATGAGAGGGGGAGGGTCAGAGGGAGAAGCAGGCGCCCCACTGAGCAGGGAGCCCGACGCGGGACTCGATCCCGGGACTCCAGGATCATGACCTGAGCCGAAGGCAGACGCCCAACCGACTGAGCCACCCAGGTGCCCTGAAAGTCTAATTTTTAAAAAATTAAATACCTCTTTCTCATGAAATGAAATACACCCTATGTTTACAGGAGTACCCTGGTTTTTTTGGCACATTTTCTCTTTTTAGACCAACATGTCTTACTTAAGTGCATTCTCAGCAACAGAGGTGGAGAGAAGAATCGACATTTCTGGTCCATCACGATGGTCGAGCAACCAGCCATCCCATTCTATTAACGCACCCAGGGCAGGAGGGCAGCTGATGACATTTAATAGAAGCCAGGACGTGCACTTCAGAAGCTCTTCCCAGTGCCATCTTGGGTGAGCTTAGAGGACCAGAGGATACAAGAGGACACGCCAAATCCTAGTCAGTAATAGGTATCGATCACCACCTCCTCCCCGCATAGGGATTACTGTTGCTAATTTTTCCTACAGGAATTTTAATGAAACACAGAAGCAGAGAAGGGTAGTACACTACGTCAAACTCCTGTGTGCCCAACGAAACCCAGCTCCAACCACTACCACCTTTCTGAACGGGTCTTGTCTTTTCTGGCCTACTTGTTGGGGGGGTGGGGGGGGGTGAGATGGGGTGGATCACGTTAAGGCAAACCCTAGTCCTACTACTTCACCTGTAAATATTCTGATATGTAACTCTTAAAGATAAAAATAACTTGTTAACCACAATACCACTGTCATTCCAATGCAACTAATATTGTATGTAACTGATCTCTCTTAAACCTCTGAATTTTTAAGTTTCCCCTTTTTCTCCCCCATGCCCTCTGTTTGTTGTGCAAATGGAGTCACCTGTTCTGTAGAGGCTCCTGCATTCTGGATTTGGCTGTCTTCCCTGATGGTGACGTGTTCTACTACCTTACATAAAGCCCATCCTGGCAGACAGGTCCAAGGCTCGATGAGATAGATTCAAGTTCATTTTTTCTGGCAAGAGTACTTCATTGGCGGGGGTCAGGGGCACTTACCACCTTCACCTGAACCTTTCACCTAACAGTTTTAGCAGCTGCTGATGCTTGTTGTTGAGGTTCCTTAAATCAAGGGGGCAGCAAAAGTGGCAAGTGTATGATTCAATCATTCTTCCTGCATTTATGAGAAGTGACTATTCTAAAGAATTTGGATTTCCCAAAGTACAGTCCACACAAGAAAGGTGAAATGTGTGATTGATTCATTTATTTTCAGAATGTGTTGGTGCTCTAGCAACTTCCAAAGGTGGCCCAAAATGTTAATTATCGTTATGGTCTCACTGGTGTTTAGATAGTCGCTATGCTTCAGCTGGCTTCAGTCACTCTTCTTCTTGATGTTCACATTGCTCCTCTCCCCGTTTGACTGGTGGGAGCCTCCTCAAGATATGGTGTGGTGGCACGACCCCCTTGGTTGATACGTCCATTACTTTCAGGCACAGGAGGTCCCAGGCTTATCTTCTGTACTTCCTTTCCCAGAGTTGGAATCAGCCGTTTCCCCAAGGAGTCCTGGCACTTTTTCATGGGAAATGTTAACTTTCAGATCAGAATCTGGGCACTAGGGAGTTCATTACTACTAGGTTATCGCTGCTTCTAGGCCTTCTCGATAGACTTGGAAGTAAACATTTTTAGGGGGAAAAAAAATCCTGAGTTCATACTGATAATTCCAAAGTAAAGATTAGTTATTAACTTAGCTTCTTCAGTCTTACTTCTTTTTATTCTTGAAATCTTTGTTCCAAACTGTATTAATTTATGTTTTATCGTACTATCCCAATATTCTCACAAACAGAAGCCCACTGAACAATGATATATCTTTGTGGGGTTTTGTCCCGAGGATACATATTGAAAATATCGGGCTCAAAGTGATTTGAAATAATTCTTCCCCATGTGGTTTTGCCACTAACTTGATATATGTTAGGCAGCTTTTTAAAAAATTTGGTTTAGGGCGCCTGGGTGGCTCAGCTGGTTAAGCTACTGCCTTCGGCTCAGGTCATGATCCTGGAGTCCCTGGATCGAGTCCCGCATCGGGCTCTCTGCTCAGGAGGGAGTCTGCTTCTCCCTCTGACCCTCCCCCCTCTTGTGCTCACTCTCTTTCGCTCTCATTCTATCTCTCTCTCAAATAAATAAAATCTTTTTAAATAAATTAATTAAAAATTTGGTTTAGAATTGTAGGCAATGCTATTTTTTATATAATTTTTTAACCATAGAAAACATTCATTTTGAAGGCAAACTTCAGAGAGGTCTACTTCCTCCCTATTCCCTCTTAGATTGAATTATTTTTATTAGTGATTTATTTTCCCCTTGTTCTTTTTTGAAAGTATAAAATACACATTATTCACATATGAACACACAAAATGTAGCATACCATATACGTCCTTCTGTCCCTTTCTCACTTGATTGTTCTCTTAGAGCATCCAGGAATAAAGAACTTGCATTCCTTTCAATGGCTATATAGTATTCCACTGTATGCACGTAGACTAGACAACTCTGTAACCTACTGTGGACATGTGGGTTGTTTCCCTCTTTTGCAATTATAATCAGTGCTTCAATGCACAGTCTTACAGACACGCCCTTTCATATTTTGGCCACTGCAGCTTTGAGGCAGAGTCACAGAAGTGGGACCGCTAGGTCAAAATACATGTCCACATAACTTGGTAGATATGATCACATACTCCCCCATCAGCTTCTGCCACATTGTCGCTACCAGCAGTGTACAAAAAGTAAGGATGTGGAATCTCAAATGCTCAAATACAAGGAACTGAAAATTCATACAAATAAAAATTAATCCATTACAAATCCCTTTCTTACTGTTAAACAACTTAATTTGAAGAACCAGAAAAGGAAAAAGACTCCTTGTACATTGTAAGTGGCACAGGAACAGAGAGGAAAAGCCTTGGTGGTAAATGATGAGAGCATCTCCTCAAATGAATTAAATTACTACAATTAAGAATTAAATAATTGAAATAATACAAATACGAATTAAATAATTACAATTTCACTTTGGAATACAGCCAAAGAAATATTCCTGGAATGCAGAAAACAAACTATGAAAAAATCTGATCCCCCAAAAAACTATTCAGGAGTCGGCAAAAGGTAAATTAATTATGGTGTATCTCTGGTGGATCATCCAGGCATTAAAAATTATGTATTCTAGGGTTATATAACGTGAAAAAAAAAGAATTCAGTAATATTAAGTGAATAAAAGCAGATTCCACATACAAATAAAATGTATGATAACCACTAGTTGAAAACATGAACAACAGAACAATAAAACAATAAAACAGTAAGCCACCAACCAACCACAGGAAAAAATCCTGGAAGAAAACAAATATACAGTACCAGAAGCTGTTCTGGGTTATGAGACTATGGATAAAGTTTCTTCTCTCCTTTTTTCATTTTCTAAGAACTTCTATAATCTAAATCTATTGAGATTCTCCCAAAATCTAAATATTTTTACAGTAAAAAAAATATATATATATAAATAAATGGGAAAAGAAAACACATTACAGAAATTTTTTGAATGTAGCAGATCATTGTACGTCGTGGCATGAAGGCCCCCTGGGAAATAGTGAGCACGTCCAGAAAAGCCACAGCAGCACTGACCTCTTACACGTTGTAACCAGAAGCCCGGGCCTAGAAAGTTCTCAGCAGGAACAGTAGACCAGACAAGTCAGTCTTGGCGTGGAAAAGTACACAGTGGTGAAAATGAGTTAAATACAAGTACATACACCAGGAATAACGCTCAGGAACATCAAGTGTGAACAAAACAGCAGGAAAAACACACAGGTAGGATTCAAATAAGCAAAAATAAAAAAAACTAATTGCTTAAAGATACAAGTCTCTGTGATAAAAAGACTTTACAGTGATGACAATGAACGTGCGCTTCAGAGCCGTAGCTGCTCCTACAGAGGAATCCAGGGGTGGACTGTGGAAGGGGCACCTCTGGGCTTCCAAGGCCAGGCTCTGTTTCTCATACCAGATGGTGTTGCATTGCTGATCCTTAAGCCCTGCACAGATTTTATAAAATTCTTTTGTATCAACTTGGGATCTCATAAAAAAAAAAAAAATCTGTTTTCACATTTTTAAGTAATTTTAAAATCACAGTGTCAGGCAAGATCTTTTAAGATCCTCTGGTCAACCCTAATATTTCTTCTTTTAAATAATTGAAGTGTTACATATATTTGGTTCAAAGTCATCTGGAGAACGGTGAAGAATGGAGGGGATAAGACAAAGAAAATGCATTCAAATCCATTTCTTTTTTTTAGAGAGAGGGAGAATCTCAAGCAGGCTCCACCCAGCATGGAGCCCAACTCGGGGATCGATCCATAGCCCTGCGATCATGATCTGAGCCAAAATCAAGAGTCAGACGCTTAACCAAGTCAGTCACCCGAGCGCACCCCACATTCAAATCCATTTCTGATTGTCGGCTCAGGGAATCCTGAAAAACTAAATGAGTGATTTTTTTTTTTTTTTTAAGTAGGCTCCATGCCCAGCGTGGAGCTCAGTGCAGGGCTCGAACTCACAACCCTGAGATCAAGACCTGAGCGGAGATTGAGAGTCAGACACTCAACCAAGTGAGCCATCCAGGCACCCCAAAGAGTGACTTTTTTTAAGGAAAAGATTTTTGAACTTCATCTTCCAAGTTACAAAACAGAATGCCACACAACCCATGTCCTTAAGTATAACATGCCATTAATGATGAGAAAGAAAACTAGTATTTCCAGAAAAAAATCTTAAGAATTTCCATCACTAAGCTTATCAACGTTGATGAAATGTGTGGTACTGGAGAAAGCAGTTTTTATAGTCAAACAGTTTTGGGTCTGGGAACAGGATCTGCCTGTATTAATGCATTTCCTCTCGGCCAGAGGGGAGAAACAGGGTCCAATTCACACGATTATGGAAAAAAAAAAAAAAAAAAGTCTGTGAAGTACCAAAAAGAAAGCTAGCATGTTGTATGCAAAGTCAACTCACCCGGTCCATATTTAACGAGGACCTACAGTGAGAAGGAGTCCCTCCTTCTGAGTGCTGGGGCGACCGCAGTGAACCAAACCAACGGAAATCCCCGCCCTCTGGGAGCTGACATTCTACACACTGGTTCGCTTCCAAATCATCTGCACAGATGCTTTTCTAGAAACAGTTCCTCTGGCACGTCAGAGGTCAGGACTTCAAAGACCCAGGAGAAGAGCTTCCTTCTTAATTACACAATATGCCTGGTATTTTCTACATCCATATGAAAGCCAAAAAAAGGGGGGGAGGAAATATAAGATACTTGAACTATATCAAGTAATTCCCTTGGCAAGCCTTGCTGCTTTCTAGAAGATGAATTGTGGTTCTTGAACTTTCCTGGTCATTTTAATCTGCTTTTGAAACTTAGTGGAGTACCGAAGTATTTGCTCAATTACTGGGCATAAAGACTGTGGAATAGCTTCAATCTCTTACTTAGCTGTTCAGAAGGAATAGATGGTAATACTTAAAAGCAGTATAAGCAGTAGTTTCAAATCCCGGGTCCCCACTGGCGCGCCGTGGGACCTTGAGCGAGTTACTTCTCTGTAAACAGAGAACACCAGCAGCTACCTAATAAGGCTGTCCTAAGAATTAAGTAGGAAACTAGGTCAAGTTCCTGAGACTGATTACCAGATAATTGGTAGCCACTATTTATTATTATTATTATTACTTTCTACCCGTATTAAGAACCTAGACAAGAAACGTAATGTAAAGAAAAAAATGACGACACGAAATGTCATTACTCGTTTATACACACAGACGTGGGAATTCAAAGTAACAACGTGAACACCTCGAACTGGTAAGTCAAATGCTTCTGAAAACATGCTACATAAGTTTCTTTTCCATTTTTATTGGGGCACAGAGGAATTCGATACTGCCCATCGTCCCAGAAATTTAGGACTGGAAGGAACGGAGAGAAAACAGAACCTCAACTCTGTTTCGTCAATTTGGAAACTGAATTCACGAATCCATCCCTATTCTCTGCTTCTCCTCTACACTCGGCACCGTTGTCACTGCGAGGGCATCTACGCCGGGGGGGTGCGGGGGGGGGGGGGGACCACACAGAGGTGCTGGCAGAGCCACAGCGCCCTGGGACCCCAGGGATGCAGCTGAAAGTGTGCTGCAGGAGGAGCCGCCGTGACCCCACGACCCCGTCTAACGTAGTGTTTCCCCCCGAATCCTCAGTCTTTCCTTGTCTCTCTTGCAAGTCAACATTTAAAACGCATTTCTGCCAGGAACACACAGGATCTGGACTCCCGCTGGTGATCTAGGACCCCAAACCAGGTACCAAAAGAAGGGGGTCTGCAGTACCAGCCCGATCGGGCTCATGGCCTGTTCCTCCAGCCAAGAATGTGGTTTTTCACATGTTTAAGGAACTGGCACCAAGGGAGGAGGGGCAATGTAGCCGAGACTGGACGCGGGCCGCAAAGCCTAGAATGTTTCCCGGCTGGCCGACCCCTGCCAGAGACGAGCCCTCCCGCCCCGATACCTGTTCTGTTCAGCCTCGCCATGTTCATCATTGCCTCCTGGTACGCCAACTCAACGTCTTCTTGGGTGACCACTAGTTTGATCTTATTCCATTTTTCAGGCTAGTACCAGGAACAGAGGTTAGGAGGAAAAGGGGAAAAATGTGATTAACCTAACCACTCAAAGAAAAAGAGTGTATTTTGGGGGGTCACCTTCTGGGGGTTTCGTTTATCTAATTTTGTACACAAAGTAACATTTTCCAACTTTCGCTTCCTGTGACTCGTGTTTTAGGCGCCCCATTAGATGCTGAATCATGCCATCTGTTCTGTCCCTGACCACCCCCCTTCCGTGGTCCAGTTGTGCAGTCTCCTGGCCACATAAGCCGGGCAGGACATAGGGCCGCAGTGCGGCTGCCCCCGACAGCCAGGCACGGCTCACACCGGGAATGGCTGCCGACGCACTCTGCTGTTCCTCCCCATCTCCTCTAACAAGCTGAAGGCTTGCATTGTCATACAATCACACTTTTACCGACCTGACCTAAATTCTGCCTTGAGCCATCTCCATGGACACACGAGGGTGAAAACAGCTTTGCACGCACCCTGAGGACAGCCTGGGGTGACCACACAGGCGGTCACAAAGGTCAGGAGAAAAGAAGCTTCCCTTTTTCCTCAGTCTGATTTTCAAAGACTCTAGCATCACAATACTATCATCCTGCTCCATGAGTGGCCACCATCCAGGCATTCTTTTTTTTTTTTCTTTTTTAATAATACCCAATAATCTACCACCCAGTGCAATAACTGAAGTCCATCCATGTGCTCTTCCCTTAACCCACAGCTCCCCATATCTCCCCCAGAGCCAGTAACTATTCTGAAGTTTATACTCGTCCTTCTCCTGCCGTACAAAATAGATATTCTCGTACATACAGATGCCAAAACAATTTACTCTTTGGTTGCTTCTGACCTTTATGAAAGGGTATTATGCAGTTATATAATCTTTGGATCTTGCTTTTCTCAATTCTGAGCATTAAAAAAAAAAAAAAGTAAAGATGATGTCAGGTTGGGGATAGGGAGAAGGATCCCAAACCCCTCATCTTTGAGGGCCCTCTGCCTCACCTGCTTCCAGCAACCTTGCTAAGTTACTCAGACCTGGCCCTTCGCATGGAGAGTCACTGTGGATTCCTGGCCAGTCATGGCCTTCCAATGTGACTTACAGGTCATCATACCTGATGGGAGGTCTCCCCCTCGTCACTGGATGGAAGGGAAAAGTAACTCAAGGATGTGGCTTAGAGATTTTCTCTACTCTGCCGTATCAAGGAAGATGTACCTGGTTGATCAATAACATAAAATTTTTATTCTTTTTCAACTGTTTCTCAGGAATGGTAGTTCAGATGATAGTGGCAGAAATTAAAAGCACCAAGATACGTGAGAATATGCCACAACTGTATTAATTTTTGGACTGTTATGGCAAGAAGAACCCTAAATGAAGTGTGATCATAGCTCAGTGGAAAAGTGACTCAGAATAAATATCTTCATATTCTAGAGGCTTTCTCCACAAGGTAATTACTTCTCAAAACGTTGGAGTTACTAATTAGTTTAAAAAGACAACACAACCAAACAAAACAACCAAAAACCTCGTGAATAAAACAATTTAAATTGTCAACAACCCTGCCTGTATTTATACCCCCAAACACTACACTTTCCATACATTCTCCTATGATTTCTCTTAGTAATGCTTAAGATATGAAAGATAAAGCACTCGATACGTGGTACTGATTTAATAAAAAAACAGTCCCTAGAATTTGTGAAGGACATGGCTGATACTCCACTCCGGGGTAGTGGAACTGAAGGAGCTCATTTCTGGAAGACAGAGTGAAGCCACGGGGATGACCCAGATCTGAAACGTGCAAACAAGTCTGAGGGGCAGGGCTCGCTTACGGACGAGGAGCGGCACTCACTCCAGAGCAAGACACGTCTTCTCGAGAAAGCGTACTCCGCAACGAGCACACCAAGGAGACACTCACCGGACCCCGTGTGCAGAGTGAACGCCCCAATCTCCACACCCGCCAACAAAAACGACCCCAGTCCCGCCAACGTGCTGTCCACCCCGCCCCCACGGCAGGCGACGCTCCACTCACAATGTCCAGCCACTGGTGCACGGCCACGGCCACCTGTGTCCCCAGGGGCTTCGTCAGCACAAGCACGTCCCCCGGCACCGCGTTATCTGGCCTGAAGAAAAGAACAAGGCAGTTCAGTGTAATCAAAGAGGTAAACTCACTGTCAATAGAATAGGAGAAAGAAAAGGCTGGTCCAAGTGCACGTGTGTTTGCAAAACACTTCAATTTAAGCCAACCACCACCAGGGCAGTAGAACCTTCCTTGCAAGTGCTACTGAGGCCACTGCTGGAGCAGAAACACTGAAAGAAGTGAAGGGTCTGCCAGTTACCTACAGGATCGCCCACACCCCCAAGGAGTGGACAAAGAAGCAGACCAAGCCTTCAAAGGCAAAGGCCTCATCGGGCCACGCTCATGTGTAATTCTCAGTACAGACCCACCATGGTTCGGGGGCAACAAGACTTCTGACCCCAAGACCGTTTCTCACCATCACTCCTGAGACAGAGACCCGTGGGATGTGGCTCCAACCTGTGGGTCTAATGTTTTGGTGATTTCATCAAAGTTCTCAAATTCAAACTGACCAACACTAAGTTCCCTACTTGGCGCCCAGACAGACTCCTTGGTTGTTCCCTGTCTTAAAGACAGAAGGCCGGGTGCCTGGGTGGCTCAGTCGTTAAGCGTCTGCCTTCGGCTCAGGTCATGATCCCAGGGTCCTGGGATCGAGTCCCACATCGGGCTCCCTGCTCGGCGGGAGGCCTGCTTCTCCCTTTCCCACTCCCCCTGCTTGTGTTCCTGCTCTCACTGTCTCTGTCAAATAAATAAATAAAAATCTTTAAAAAAAAAAAAAAGACAGAAGGCCAATACTAAAAACACAAAGGCCGACTCCCCAAGCGCAACCCCTATCACACTGCACCCTCACTGCGGGGCATGGCCAGCCCTCGTGTCTTCCTTGTGTCGGTTCAAGCTGCCCACCCAGCCACTGTGCCTTCCAACAGTAGAGGACTATGTCACCCACGCCGATCACCAAGCCAGGGGCACAGACTTAAAATCAACCACTAGCTCCCCAGCTCATCCCGTGATCTCTGTATCCACTGTTAGCTTTCAAAAATGTTCATTTGGTAACGGTATCTAAGAAACTCCTTTTCCAAAAAGTAGGCCTTGAGGCATGAATGTCTTTCAGGTGTGACTCAGCCGCACCTCAGTGCTGGTATGTTCTTGGACAGCACAGGTCATGTGCCAGCCACAAGCATTACAACCCACAACTACCGGGTGATGTTCAAGTTCACAGGCACTACTGGATGAAATATAACCACGTGCGCACGCTCATTCCTGTTTTACAAACTAAACATACATGCTGAAAATCCACTGAAGCTTGTTTTATTATGTTTTCCTAATTTTTGCAATTGCTTAAGTTCTTTTTCTACTGAAAAGCTGAAATGTGGGAGGCAGATGGACCCACGATCCTGTGTGTGTGGAAGCTTGAGAACGAGCAACATAAAACACAGGAAAACAAAACTCTGGTGTAAGTAAAATGCAAGACCCTTCACAAGAAAGCTATCAGACAATGTCTCTAAAAAGAGCTCCCATCAATTAAAAAAATGGGCAAAAGACAAGAATATATGAAAAATATGCTCAACTTTCCTCACAAAGGAGTAAGGTTTAAGCCACCAAACAGACTGTCAAAGAACTGAGAGGCTTGTTTGCACGCTGTGTTGATGGGGAGGGGGGGCCGTGGCAGTCTTGTTCACTGCTGGCCAAGCCTCTACGCAGGGCAATCTGGAGAAATCTATCGTGACTCTGCACATATATTTGACTTAGCCATTTTATTTTGAAAAATTTCTTACCAAGAGTTACGCATATACAAAATCATCTACGTATAATGGTTATACAATGAAGTACTATTTGTAATGTCAAAATAATTGAACAATGTAAATGTGAATAGTAAATTGGCTCAAACTTGGTAAAAGTAGTTCCCTTGTCCAGGAAAGGAAACTGGTGACAAGGGATGGGGGGGGGGGGGGACTCCGCACTGCAGACTTTTCTCTACCGTTTGAACCCCGAATCATGTGAGCACAGTGCCTGTTAGTACCTGTTCACAGAAAAAAGCCAAACAGGGGTGCCTGGGTGGCTCAGTCGGCCCCGCGTCAGACTCCCTGCTCTGCTTCTCCCTCTGCCCCTCCCTGTCCCACTCGTGTGCAGGCCCTCATAAATAAATAAAATCTTTTTTTTTTTAAAGGTAAACAAATGGGAGTTTCTACTTCCTTCAGAAACTGGACATTTTCTTTTCTTAAAAAGACATCAAACATGTAAAGTTAACAACTTGTATTAAGACAGAATCTTTCAAAAAAAAAAAAAAAAAGGAGAGAGAGACACAGAGAGAGAGACTCTTTCCCAAAGATCTAGAAATGGCCAGAAAGCACATCAACAGAGGCCCGTATGATTAGCTACTAGAGAAATGCCAATTTCACAAAGGGACATAGATCACCTCACACCTGCTAGGCTGGCTATACCAAACATGCAGACAAGAGAATGAGGACTAGTGAGGATGCGGACAGTGGCATTCTCCTACATTGCTGTTTCGGATGTAAAATGGTGCCACTGTTGGAAACCAGGGTGATGGTGGCTCAAGCTACACGGTCACCACGTGACCCGGTAATTCTTAGGTACATTACACCATGGGAAATGCAATGTATGTTCACAAAAACGTGCACACAAAAGTTCACAGCAGCATCATCTGTTCTGGTCCATCACACCATGGACTGTTGTTCAGCCGCAAAAAGGCACGAAGCAGTGACAACACGCCACAACACAGAGTCTGGAAACGTCACACTAACTGAAAGAAGCCAGACACAAAATACTGATGTATCCTAGGATTCCATTTATCAGAAATGTTGAAAATGGGCAACTTCACAAGACGGAAAGTAGATTAGTGGTTTCCAGGACACGGGGAGAAGGGAGTTGGGAGTAACTGCTTACAGATACAAGGTTTCTTTTTGGAGTGATCGAAATGTTCTGGAATTGGACAGTGGTGATGGCTGCACAACCTTGTTAATACTAAAAACCAGTGAAGTGTATACTTTAAAAAGCTGAATTTCATGGGATGCCAGGCACAGTCAGTTAAGCGTCTGACTGGTTTGGGCTCAGGTCCCATGTCGGGCTCTGGGTTCGGCATGAGTCTGCTTGTCCCCCTCTCTCCCCCTCTGCCGCTCCCTCTGCTCTAATAAATAGATAATTATTTTTTAACAAGTTGAATTTAATGTGATGTGAAATTTTGTTACATGAATTGTACTTCAATTAAAAAGACCCCAAAATTTAAAAAAATTAGGAGTAAAGTACTGCTATGTGCCACAAAATGATGAACCTTAAAAATATCATGCTAATATTGTGTGCAGTGAAAGGCAGAATGGGAGCCGGGGGAACGTGGAGTGACAGTGAGGGGGATGGGTTTCCAGCTGGGGTGACGGAATGTTCTACAATCATCTCTGGGGATGGCTACATAATTCTGTGCAACACCACCAATGGGATGCGAATTCATATTTCAATACATCTTTACTAAAAAATGAAGAAGAAAGGGAGAACCAGGCCAGGTGATGGGAAACAAAATCCACTTACATGATAAATTCATTGGGCTGGCAGACAGTCGTGGCCACTCCTCCCAGAACAATCCAGGGGTTTAACACCGTCTGGCCACCAGTCACAGACGTCCCTGCCTCCTCTGCTGCGTCCTTAAAACCCTGTATAATTAGGGGCATCACTTTGTCCCTTTCCTAGGGTTGAAAAGAACACAAATGAAGAGTCACATAAAATTCAGTTCAGAACCCAGAAAAGAGAATCTACACTTAGTGTTATAAAGAAGATCATAAAACCCTAGAGGGGCTCCTGCAGTTTACAGCCAGGGTTGGGGATCAGAGGAAGAAGGAGGCCAAGGGCTGACATTGCAGCCATTTTATCAGGAGTCGGAAGGTGCTCTAGGTTACAATGTGAACGGAGCCCAGACAACACAGAATTAAAAACTGGAATTTGACTGGCTCCACAGGTCTGCCCTCCATCTGAGGGCCAGCTCTTTCAGGGGTCCTTAAGAATTCCAGTGCCCTCCTCCAGATGCTTTGTGGAAGCCATGACCAGCTAATTTCTATGAGGCGCAGCAAACCTCTTTCTGGGGCACAAAAACAGGTACCTTTCAAAAAGAATCTAATGGAAATCATCCCTGAGTCAAAGGACAGGGGCTGACGGCAAGACCACGGACACGGCTGTGTGAGCATGTGACTGCATGGGGCACTCCGCCACATCACCCCCCAGCTGCGTCACCCCAGACAGCAGTGGCGTGCGCCCGGGGTCTGTAAGGCTAGGCCCGGGCCACAGGCCTGGCGCGGAGCTGCTAGGACTGAGGCCTCAACTTTAGTAACGCAAACAAACATGCCTGTCTTGGCTTCGGTCTACCTGAAAGAGAGAAAGGGAAGCAGGTGGTGGATATGATAACAAGAACAGGTCAGAGTCTCTAGTTTAATTCGCAGGTAGTTGCCAAAAAATAAATGGGGAGCCCGACAGAAGGAGAGATGTGCAGCCTGGGCGCCCCATTATGGATGGCGGGGACTAAGGGCTAACCAGTCAAGTGACGCCAGCAAGACAGCAGACTACTTACCCTGTCGGTCATTTTATTACTGATTCCGAGGAGCATCAGCATATTGTCGCATTCCGTGACCCCCATGGCATAGAGGTCACTGAGGACGTTGGCACATGCTATCCTGCCCTGGAAGAGAGGGGAGGCGTGAGAGAGGACAACTGGGGGACTTTCCGTGTGTGCCTACAGAGCGCCTCCCAGGACAACTCGGGGACTTTCCAGGGACATGGTCCCCGCTTTCTGTGTCCTTTACTGCATCACACAACCACGAGGCCATTCCTTCACTGTTTCTCAGATATTCCTGTGACCACCTCTTCTTTCTTGTGCAGAACACAGAATTTCTGTGTTCTTTCCCATTTTGAATATCGGGAGAAGCCTACAATGTATTTAGATGGGGGAACCGGGGTTGGGAGCAGATGCTGAGCCAAGCAAGGTTGGAGCTGATGGGTCTGGGAGGAGAGCTTATGGAATGAAAAAGTTGGAAAACAACGGTCTTCTAAAGCAAACTTGGAAACAGCCATGTATTCTAAACAGATTCTAAAAATATGTTCACTTTATTGGTTATAGAGAAGATGGTTTTTATAACACAGGGAGGGAGAAATTTTGGTAGCTTCTTTTCAAGGCTGTAGAAGATAAACAGGAAAAACATCTTGCTTGAGAAATCAAAAAATAGAAGAGAGAAAAAACATCTATGCCTGAAGTCAGACTGTTTTCTAAAGTATATAAAAAGCATTTCCAGTAAACTATATTATTTTGTAAGGAACTTTTTAATTCAATAGAAATATGATAATACATTTTTTTTAATATCCACTGAAGATTTTTTAATTTTTTTTTTAATAATTTATTTGAGAGAGAGAATGAGATAGAGAGAGAGAGCATGAGATGGGGGAGGGTCAGAGGGAGAAGCAGACTCCCCGCTGAGCAGGGAGCCCGATGTGGGACTCGATCCTGGGACTCCAGGATCATGACCTGAGCCGGAGGCAGTCGTTTAACCAACTGAGCCACCCAGGCGCCCCCTGAAGATTTTTTAAATACTAAGTTGTTGGGGGCGCCTGGCTGGCTCAGTTGGTGCAGCTAGTGACTCTTGATCTTGGGGTTGTAAGTTCAAGCCCCATGTTGGGTGTAGAGATTACTTAAAATAAAATCTTAAAAAAAAAACAGGGGCGGGTGCCTGGGTGGCTCAGTCATTAAGCATCTGCCTTTGGCTCAGGTCATGATCCCAGGGTCCTTCCCTGCTCTGCGGGAAGCCTGCTTCTCCCTCTCCCACTCCCCCTGCTTGTGTTCCCTCTCTCGCTGTGTCTCTCTCTGTCAAATAAATAAATAAAATCTTTAAAAGAAAAACAACCACAACCACAACAACAAAAAAACGGGTGCCTAGGTGGCTTAGTGGTTGAGCATCAAACTCTTGATTTCAGCTCAGGTCGTGATCTTAGCGTCGTGAGATCAAGCCCCATGTCAGGCTCTATCCGCACTGGGCACGGATCCTGCTGGAGATTCTCTCTCTCTCCCCCTCTGCCCCCCAACCCCCGCTCCAAAAAATAAATAAATAAAAAATAAATATAAGTCGTCATTTCTAGACAGTGAAGGAGAAAATGACAAATTGTTCTTCTGACATGAGGATAATCAAACTCCCAAGTATGATCATTTCAGCAGCTGGCTCAGTACTCGCTGAGGTTTTCTTATGACTCCCTGGCAGAATGGCAGCAAGCTCAGAAGCAACAATAGCAGGGTAAACAGGGCTTTTGCAATTCGGAGGTGCCTGCCACTTGGGGCCGTAGCCACGTTCTGTCCCCTCTCTGATGCTTTTAAGATATGCTGGCTAGGGCGCCTGGGTGGCTCAGTTGGTTAAGCGACTGCCTTCGGCTCAGGTCATGATCCCGGAGTCCCTGGATCAAGTCCCGCATCGGGCTCCCTGCTCGGCAGGGAGTCTGCTTCTCCCTCTGACCCTCCCCCCTCTCATGTGCTCTCTCTCATTCTCTCTCTCACAAATAAATAAATAAAATCTTTAAAAAAAAAAAAAAAAAGATATGCTGGCTAGAGGCACCTGGGTGGCTAGGTCCTGATCCCGGGGTCTGGGATGGAGTCCCGCATCGGGCTCCTTGTTCAGCGGGGAGCCTGCTTCTCCCTCTATCTGCTGTTCCCCTGGCTTGTGCTCTCTCCCTCTATCTCTGTCAAATAAATAAAATCTTTAAAAAAGAGAGAGAGAGAGAGAGAGAGATGCTGGCTAAAGGCTGAATTCTGGTCCTAGCCGCCTCTGCCACCTGGTCAGGTGGGGCTCCTGTGGTCTCTCAGAAGTACTGCTCCAGAGGAGAGAACAGAAGTGCAGGGGCCAGACAGGTTTCTAGTCAACTATCTGCTTGTCACTGGCATCTGAGAGGTGACCTTCCTCCTCCCCACACTTAGCTGTCTCGGGACCCAAGTCCCTGTGCATGTGGCTTGAGTCCAGTGCCCTGGCACACAGGGAGGCCCATTTCTTTTTTTTTTTTTTTTTAAAGATTTTATTTATTTGACAGAGAGAGAGACAGTGAGAGAGGGAACACAAGCAGGGGGAGTGGGAGAGGGAGAAGCAGGCTTCCCGCCGAGCAGGGAGCCCAGTGCGGGGCTCGATCCCAGGACCCCGGGATCACGACCCAAGCCGAAGGCAGACGCTTAATGACTGAGCCACCCAGGCGCCCCAGGGAGGCCCATTTCTTAACAGCATGATGCTCCCCGTTTCTTCATCGGCTCCTCGTCTGGTAGGGTAGGGGGTTAAAGTCGGGCAGACCAGGAGGTTGCTGGCGTAGCCATGCACTGGGCAATTTGGAAGTAGATCTAGGCAGGGCCGTGATCAGTAGCCAGGAACTTAACGCCGCAGATCAGATACGCATTCTACATGGGGACACATGACACACTGAGGTGCCTAGTGACCAGAGTCGGAATCGACAGTCAAGCAGCTTAACTGTGGTGAGATGCTGTTTATTTCTGGAAGGAAACACCTTGAATCAGTCCTGCTACCAAGTGTGGTAACACCTCATAGCCTCAAACACAGGAATGCAGAGTTTACAAACGTCAGAGAGAGAAGGCAAGAAGAAAACTCTAAGCACGTCCGTCAACAGATGTGCTGAGGACACAACAGGTGTTTGTGCCCAGACACACCCGCAGGTACAAGAGCGGCAGAGGGGCTCCCCGCGCCTGCCCCCACTGCCTTCTGCCCGGGACTGAGCGTGAGCAGGGCAGACCCAACGGCTGCAAGGGCAGACGGCAGGGCAGTGGCGGCGGGATGGTGACAACTGGCGTGTCAGGAAAGCCAAGTCCCCAGCCCCAAACCCAACCAACAAGCAGTTCCAGATGTAAACACACACCCGGGTCAAACTCACCATCATGTAAGGGTCATCAACGATAGGATAGATGTAATCTGTGGTTTGAACCAGAGAGAGACCGCCATGCCTCAAAGGAATGACGCAAGTATCCATTCCAATGCCTGCAAAGACGAAAGTCGTCAGCGTCCAAAAACCGAAAGGAAAAGCCATTTCATTTTATACCATCAGTGTTGCGAATAGGAGCAGTTTCGTGCACGATGCTTATGGAGCACTGAGCCCTGCCAACAAAGCAATGTGTTTCCTATCAGGCCCGTAAGTGAAATAAACGTGAAACGTAACTGGCTTAAGATGGAAAGTGAGAATAAAATTTGTTAGTCATGAAGACTCAACTTCAATACGGTATAATTTTTAGACTTTAATGATGCCTCCGATGGAAATTTTTCCTTTGTATTACTGTGTCATGTTGCTGGCATCACAGAGAATTCCTTTAAAGATGAGAAAGCATCAACGGAACTTGGGTTGTCTTAGCTACAGTTACTTTTCGAGTAGATCTTTAGGCGTTATTCTGTTTTCCCCAATAAAAGTCGGTAAAATCTGGGGCACCTGGGTGGGTCAGTTGGTTAAGCGACTGCCTTCAGCTCAGGTCATGATCCTAGGGTCTGGGATCAAGCCCCACATCAGGCTCCCTGCTCAGCTGGAAGCCTGCTTCTCCCTCTCCCACTCCCCCTACTTGTGTTGCCTCTCACGCTCTCTCTCTCTGTCAATTAAATAAATGAAATCTTTTTTTAAAAAAAGTCTGTAAAATCTTTTATACATATAATAAATGTTATTATTACTTCTCCATTTTAGTCAAAAATGAAAATGACAGAGGTGGGGAGGGCGCCTGGCTGGCTCAGTCAGTTGAACGTGCGTGTGACTCTTGATCTCGGGGTCGTGAGTTCGATCTCCACGTTGGGTGTAGAGATTACTTAAAAATAAATAAATAAGCTTAAGTGAGAGTGAGAGAGGGAGGGAGGGAGAGAGAGAAGAAGGAAAGAGAGAAGGACAAAGTCGGAACAAGTATTCATCGTTTCCAATCAAGCTTGGACAGACACTGCAGCATCTGTGGGATCTGGTATGTAGGTTACCAAAGGTATTTTTTAAGAGGAAACTTTAAAATTCCACGTTATTTCTCTTGCAGAAAACCTGTAAATGTCACCTTTACTAACTTATGCTATCAAGCCTGCAGGAAATAGTTCAATTTATTAAAAATCGTTTCTAAACATTTAGAAAGATAATATGGACAATGGATGGTCTAATTAGAAATAATTCCCTTTTACTGAAATCGGTTTAGAAATAGTCAAAACTAAGCCACTATAGGCAACATTTCTTTGGAAATCACCTGTAATGGGGACATATTCAAATTCAGACTGGCCCTCCCACCAAGCACGCTGAATACAGAGTGCTTTCCCTCACCTCTCTCGAAAGGATACCCACCTGCCCCCTTATGAGGATTTCAACTTGGCAGCGCACAACAGCTGAAGGTGGAGAAAAAAATCAGGATAAAATACCAAAGGAAGCAAGTGGATGGCACCCTCGTAATTCAGAATTGCAAACGGAACAAGAATAAATCATATCTGCATCACACTGAGATGAATATACGAGCACCTTTCATATTCTGCTTGAGTAAAATTGCTGCAGTACAACGATCTCAGCACCACAACGCCAAAATACCCACGAGAGGCCGCGTCACAGGGGCACCTTATTTTCCCAGGCCTTGATCCATTATTATTAAAGCAAAAATAAAAACCGAGTTTAATAAAAAGCTACAGACTTTGTGAAGGCGGGCTGATTTCCCACCACACAAGATGGCAAGGCGGTGTCCGGATGGCAAGTCTCACGGGTGTGTGACAACGAAGCACACTGCCCAGGTCATGAGTGTCCATGTGCATCAGGTGGGAACACGTGTGATAATTCATCTAAACGACATACGTGCACACCTCCCAGAAACTTCACCTGACAACTGCTTTTCAGCACTTAAGTGGAAAGGGCAAGAACCACAATTTTACTCATACTGAGTCTCCCTAAATTGACCCAACAGGTCATTCTGAGGATATTACTGTTTGCTTCAGGAAAGAGCAAAATACAGTTTTCTTTGGGGTTTTCATGTATGAACCACAGGCCTCCTGAAAGAGACCAGACATAGCTGCTGAATGTTAGCTTTAAATGTTTCTCATCAGGGCGCCTGGGTGGCTCAGTTGGTTAAGCATCTGCTCAGGTCATGATCCCCCGGTCCTGGGATGGAGTCCCGCTTCAGGCCCCCTGCTCAGTGGGGAGCCTGCTTTTCCCTCTCCCTGTGCCCTTCCCTCTGTTCGTGCTCTGTCTCTCTCTCAACTAACTAAATAAAATCTTTTTGTTAAAAAAAGTTTCTATTCTGGTTAATCCAAATTTGAATTAAATAAATTTGACTTGTGAAGGATTTAATTTCTATTTATATGTATCATCAGAGCATTTTAACTGATGACTCTTGAGCATGTTTACCAAAAAACCCAACATTTCATTAGCAGTATTTTATATCAATTACGTTTTTAAATGAGGTTTTTAGGATTAAGTAAAATATGTTAGAATTAATTTCACCCAATGCTCTAGGAAATTTGAAATTACATGTGTGGCTCACATGGTATTTCTCTCATACAGCACCGGTCCATAGTGACTGGGGGAGAGAGGGCACATCTGAGATGAGCCACTGGCCTTAAAAAACCAGAGGATCAAGTTGAGAGGGAGGGACAGTCCAGGGAGAGGGCAGGTGGTAACAGACGAAAATACCACGGGGGGGCGGGGGGGGGGACCTCAAATACCAGACCAAGCAGTGTTATATTTAATTACCAGTGGGTGGTGGGGAATTCTGGGTTTTCAGCAAGCCTGAAACCATCCATCAAGCAGAAGAACCCAATGATCATACTACCACCACTTGCCGGCAGTGATCAGTACTTGATAGCTCTTACGTCTCAGACAAGAAACACTTATTTTAACATTTCTTTAGTGAGAATACATCTAATCAACACATGTACATTTAACAACTGTCACCATCTTAGGATCCAGGAAATCTGTCACTCGTTTAGAAAAATAGTTTAAAAACAGATAAACACACTGGTGTGTATATATTATGTGTCTATCTAGGTAAAGATACACACGGTACATATACACACACACATAATTTCCGGTACTTCCAACACTTAGAAACAGTAAGTATGATTATCTCATTCTGAAGATTGGTACACTGTCGCTCATATTAACATTAGTGACTCCTTAGTGACTGTGTCCGGACAAGAATCTAGATCTGATTCCAAAGCAAAGCTTTGGCTATCTAGATGTTACCACTTCTGGACGAGGTTTTAATACTATGCTTCCTTCAGCACCCATTTGCTTGTAACCTGGGGTCCTTCTGCCCCTGGAGAATGCCAGGAATGCTCAATTTCATGAGTGGGCCTTTTTCTGGGAAAGGTTCCTGGCTTCCAAATGCTTCCCCAAAGCCCTAGGAGACTATACTCCTTTGCGCTAGTATTCTTCTACCAGCTTTCTTCTGCCTCTCCGCTTACTATCCCCATCTGTCCCCTTTGCCACTGCTGGGTTGTACCTTGCAGCCTCTATTCTCACTGCAAATGTGTTGGACTTAGAAACAGGGTGACAAACGGTATGGTGCAGGGAGGAATCAGAAAACATGGACTCCAGGTCCTGACCCTCGCCAAGTGACACGGGATGGGTTACCCTGCCTTCCTGTGCATCATGGGGCAGAGGGAAGAGCAATGAACTGACCCATTTTCAAAGTGCTTAACAGTGCATGGCATGCTCATAAGGTCAATGGGGGAAGTTATAAAGAGGAATTACTACTATATCCATGAGGCTTTTATTGCATTTGGTTTTGCCCATTTGGCAGCTTATTTCTCTTGACAGAGTTATCGGACAGCTTTCTCAGTACATTCTTATTTCTTGACAAGACAACATCTAATCCAACCCATTCACGTGGCATTTCTCCATGCTTAGACATCAGCTAGATGAAGCTGGTTTTCGAACTGAGCTCCTGGGAGCCAGCCCTGTGGCCCTTAGAGTGTGGGGTGTGAAGTTTCCTCTCCTCCAACCAAAGCAGCTCTGCTTTTATAGCTCCTTTACATATCAGGGAAGAAAGGAGCATCCTGGGTTGTGAGACAGAATGTTGTTAAGACAGAACTGCACAATCAAACAATGGGTGAAAATGAACAGAATGAAAACCTTATGTAAGAACGCTGATCGGGTCACACACCGTAACTACCAAACATTCAAACTCCTAGAATACACACCAAACACTCAGAAAGCCAAGTGAGCATGGTCTCATGCCACGTCCTTAACGCACCAGACAATAAAAGCTAACAAACAATATCCCAACAGGCTAGAATTTCTTTCTGAGCTCTGTGTTTGGGAAGAGGCAAACCACTAAAACATCAGGAATTTAGTAAAGAAAAAAAAAAAAAAAACCACACTCTCCGTGCCAGATGACGTCCTAGGGTCAGCCACACATTCAGTCCAGTCTTCTAGAACCTCCTCCCTAGCAGAGCTCATCAAACAGTGCATACTGCAGAGGAACCCAGAAGTCTCCCCCCACCCCATCACTGCCCTCTAAGCGCTGCACAATGACAGGTAAGCACTACCTTTCCTAAGGCAAAGAAGGGAATGCAAGTGTTTTAAGGAAAATTTTAGGACAGAGGCATAAAGGAGTTTCTGCTTAATCCTCAGCTAACTACAAAATTCAATTTAGTAAAAAATTCTCTTACTGTAATAGAATTGTCTCAACTGCACACTTAATAATTTAAAAATGGCGAGAGCACATTTCTTGATGCTTTTCAAGTACTTCCTCCAAATAAGCTACAATAATAGAATACTTATCGTTGCTTTGCTTTTTGAAAAAGGCACCACGGGAGGACAGAAGTTTGGCTTTTGACTCATTGACTACAATCGCAGCCAAGATGCTCTACTTTGGGGAAGTATAAAAGAAATAATGGTTCACATACCAAGCCTTGGCATAACTGCTCCCAGAAATTGCTCATCTTCTTGGAAGTGGTTCTCTTGTAAGGATTCCAGCAATTTCTGCAGGACATCTTGGGGCACTTTGCAGCCAGTGCCCTTCAGTTCAGTGAATCTGGTTAGCCGGAAGCTCTTGTCCAACTCATAACTTTCCGGGTTAAAGGACTCCCGCGTAGACATGGTTCTGGGGCGCACACACCTCACAGCTGGGCTCCTCCCCTCCCTCTCCTAGCAGTTGGTTTCTTTACAGATCCACCTAGGTAGCGCCAAAACACAAAGACACCATTAAAAGAATTCTCACCACTACTTGCTAAGAAACAAGTAAGTGTGAGAAGAGCTGAAATCACCCAGACCACAGGCATAGGGTGATCGGAGGCCGTAACAGTTCATTACAGTGATGCATAAGCCAGATTGAATCATTTTTAAAAAATGACTGTACCATCACAGACATCTTCTACTGAAGAAGACCTGACGTCTGTGTTGCCGTAACTGTGGCTCTGAGGGGCAGCCAGGACACCTCCCCTGAAGAAGGCACTATGGGCCAGCTGACACATGACACAAGACCATCTTGAGCAGCAGGTCCCAAAGGTTCTTCTGGCGGCCAGCATTATGAGAAAACTTCTAGTCACTTCATCTGTCAACCTAGAAGCACTACGGTTTAGAGATTAGAAGGCCTGGCTAAAGGGACTTCTCTGGAAAGCCTTTTAATATCTTCTGCTATCTCACAAAGAAAAATAAAATGCCCATTAGACAGACACTCTGCAGGAAAAGGATGCTGATGGAAATGCACTTGATGAAATTCTTCATGATGCTCAATTCAATTTTAGAAAAGCCTGTTTTCACTCTGGGCCAAAAGTACAACATGATCCAAAACTAAGGAAGCCTCACTAAAGAACACAACTCGAAAAGTGGAATGGCTGTTTAACACAGCAAGATTAATTTTCTCCAAGAGAGCAGTGCAAAGTTCTCTAATGTTTTAATGCAGTGCTCTTTCCTAGAAAGCAAACATCCCGCCCAACAAACCAGTACACACACACCGACAAAATAAATATGCTTGCCCCTGCTCATTACGGTTTCATTGCAGAACTAAAATGAGAAATTAAACTGTACTAAATCACTGGCATTTATGGTACTTGGTACCACTGGAAGTTTCTAGGAGGGCAAACCCTTCTAAATCTGAAGTCTCAGAGGTTAAATCAGAATCTTATATGTGCTCCCAGGGTTTACAAACCTCCAGACTGATATTTTATTGGGCATAGAATTACAAACACCCCAAGTTTTAGAGTTAGTTTCCCCTATAAAATTTATGATTAAGAACATAATTCCCATTTATAGAGTTTCCGATCTTCTGGGAAGCACATCACTCATTTAAAATAAATCTCTTTCTCACACACACACTCTCTCACACACACTCACAAAATAACTGAAATAAATCTCACAAAGCCCGAGTTTAGGCAGTGATCCAAACTGTCCTTACAAAAACATGTTTGGGGTGAGCAATCATTTCGGTTTGAAACCTACAACTGTGCAGGAGTAAACCTTCCAAGATTCCAAGAAATCAACCTGTCCAAAAGGAGGGTGGCAGGAGAGCAAAGCAAAATACCAGAGGGGAATTCTGAAGCCATTTTAGAGTTAGGAAAAGTCCAGTAGCACTTTGACTTGGAAGAGTTTGGAACAAAACAAGTCCTTTGCTCACAAAACGCCTCGCACTTAACATCGCCTCACTCCTACCAGGGGGAAAAAAAATCCAACTCACGAGGCATCCAGTTATTTTCCTACCTCCAACCCTACCCTTCCCCCCAAAAAAGAGGCGGGGAATTTGAGGGACTAACTTCCTTTTAAACATTATTTATATTTTCCCAGATTTTTAAGAGGAAAAAAGTTTAAAACACCTTAAGTCCAGAAAGCACTCAGGAGTTTTAAAATTCGAACTGGAACGAGGGACACACATCCCACACTCACATCCGAACCTTGAAAACTTACAGTTTTTGGAGGGTGGATGAGCGAAAATGGGGGGGGGGGTCTTGGGGAAATCGTAATTAATGGGGGGGAGTACATTTGCATAATAAGAGGTAGTCCGCTCCAACCCAGAAGCCGCATGTTTACACCTTTAAAACAATGATATGAATATTTAAAGACAACGGTTAACCCTTTCCTTCTCGGCCACCTTAATTTTTTTTTTTTTTTTAACCGAGTGCGCCAGGCGGGCCGCACAGCTCGGGGAGCACGGTAAGCGGGGACGGGAGAGGGTGCAGCCGCAGCCCCGTACCTACCTCCCTACCCGCAAGCCCCTAAGCCCAGGATATAAACAAAGGGGTGGACTCCGGGCCCGGCGCGCGGGGGCCGGGCGCTCTCCATGCAGCACGCGTCCAGGAGGCAGCTGGAGCGCGGAGGCCGGCACGCGGGGACACCTTAAGTCTCAGGCTGCCGCCTTTAAAGGCAGCGCGGGCCTCGGCTCTTTGTGCGGCGCGGCGCGGCGGGCTGGCCGCGGCCGGGCGGAGGCAGCGCGGCGCCGCCACCGGCTGGGCCATGCCCGCCCGCTCTCCCGGCGGCGGCGGCGGGAACGGCAGGGAGGGCGCGAGGCGCGCACGGCCAACCGGCCGCGGCGGGGCGGGCGCGAGCGCGGCGGGACCCCGGCCCACGGGGCCGGCTCGGCCCGGGCGCCCAGGGTCAGGCGGCGCCCGCGGGCCGGAGGGCGCGCGCGTGGGGGCGGGGAGGGCCCCGGAGACGCCGCGCGCCGCGCCCGGAGACCGGGCTGGGTTCTCCCCGCCGCGCGCGCGGGCCGCCGCCGCCGCACAAAAATGTCGGCGGGCGAAAAAATTAACCCTTGCGTCGCCGCCGCCGCCCTCCCCCTCCACTCCTCCCCCGCCCTTTCCTCCCTCCCTCCTTCCCCGGCTCCGCGCGGCGGCGGCGGCGGCGGCGGCGCGGGCGGTGCTTCTTTTTTAAAGCGGCCCCACCAAGCCCTGGCTCTGCCCCTCTCCAGGCAGCGCTGGAGAGCGCCGGCCGTGCACGGCTCCCGGCGGGCCCGGGCGGCCCGGAGGGGGATCTGCACGGCCGCCATGGGCCTGCGGACGAATATTCCCCTTTAAGCCTGGCGTCGCGCCCCCCCCCTCCCCAAGCCAGGCGCTTACCGGTTCGCTTTGCGCCCTCCTCCTCCTCCCGAAAACGGGACTCCGGCGCTCCCACAATGCACCGGGCGCGGCCGGGCTCCCTTAAGCGTCGCCTGAATAAAAATGCCGCTCCCGGCGGCGGCGGCGCGGAGGGCGGGAGGGCCCGGGCCGCGCCTGGGCACCGCGGGGGCTCGGCCTGGCTCGGCGGGCCCCTGCCGGGAACCGGGCCGCCGCGCTCCGCCGTGCGCCGCGCGCGAGGGGCCTTTAAGGGCCGGCTACCGCCCTTTAAGAGGCGGCGGGCCGCGGCCGGAGCGGCTCGGTGGCTGCGTGCGGCCCGGGAAGGGGGCGGGGGCGATGTGCAGGCCCGAGCGCGGCAATGATTGGTCTCGGGGGAGGGGTGGGGGGTTGCAAACCCGAGGAGCGGTGGCATCCGTTGCATGATGCAAAAAGGATTGATTTCAAAAGTTGCGAGTTGCATTGGCAGCTGCCTTTGGCGCCCGGGCCACCACCTACTTTTCCTCGACCCGCCGGAAGGGCCGGGAATGTTTTCCAAAACCTGGCCGGGCTCCACCAAGCTACACCCCTGCGGGACGCTGTACCTGCTCCCCGAGCGCCGCGGTCGTTTCGTGCTGGGAGACAATGACCGTGGAAACACTTTGAAAAAGAGTAGGAGCAGAGGAAAAGCCGCCTCTGCCGCGAGAAAAGATTTTTAGAACATAAACGGCGCGTGTGATTAGTAATGACTTCTGTCGTCTCTCCTTTCTATTGTTTAGCCTGGGCTCGGGAGCTAACGTGAGCCTTAGTGGATGTGCCGCCGTCCCGCAAAGTTGCTTGAATGTTAACGTGCTTGGTAGGGAGTCCGAGCTCAAGGTTCCTCGGTTACATTGTTTGCTCTTCACATGTCCAAGTAAACATGGCAGCCTAATACTGTGTGTGTTTGAATTAACACTGATAGAAGAGCTTCCGCATGTGAAAGTGCTTTCTTCAGGTTTTCGACTCTTTAGTGCATTGCTGATTAAAATAAAGCAAAAACGCTTTCCCAATACTACGCCTTTTAGGGCTTCCCTCAAAACCAAGGAGTGTGGAGGAACGCCGACCAAACTTTTCTAGGGTGGTTCAGCATTTTCTAAATGGATTTGGGGGGGCAGGAATGTTTTTGGTCACCGAAAGAGGCTTTAGGTTGTGTGTCAGGTTTGCAGGCTATGCAGATGCCCTTTTCATTCTTAAAATTTCTGCTTGAGGATTTCTTAGGGTCTTACTCTCGGTGAGAATACAGAAGTGATGTAACCTAGCAGACCGCCTGATGCAGGCTTTTCCGCTGTGTTTTTTTTTTTTTTCTCGGTACCTCTACAGTAAGTTAGGAAAGCACAGAGTAGCCTGGATTCTCTGATGTGAGTTGTTGGACTTCTGTAAGAATGGCACAACCCTGTGTTTGGCAAAGCTGGATCTGCCTCTGAATCACCTGGGAAGATGCCTGTATACACAATCCCCAGGCAACCCTCCAAACCTCCCGAATCAGGGAAAGAGGATGCAGTATCTTTCCTCCCATCCTCTCCCTTTTGACATTAATTTTGTGAGTTCTTGTGGGGTTTTGGTTTTGTTTGTGAGGGGGTTTTTTGGCAAGAAAAGTCACAACTTGAAAAGAAAAGATTGGGGGGACTAGAGGCAAGGTGAGTAGGGCCCTACCTGGAGATGATGTGTCATGCTGGGGAGTTTGGTATTTATGCCGTAGTCAGCAGAGTTTGGCAGATTTGTTTTTTACAAGTTGAGCTCGTAAAAAAAGGCTGTACCAGATCTGGGAGGATGCCCTCCCCAGAGGGGAAAACCGGGCCGTATCTCTAATTAGGAGGTAATTGTAATAGTCAAGACTGGAGTTGAGGGGAATCGAAACGAAGCAGCAGGACTGTAGACAAAAGAGTTGAGGGGATTTAATATGGGGTTGGAGGAAGGAGCATAAGATGACCCCCAGATTTCTAGTTTTGGGGGACCGGGTGTGTAGTAATGCTAACTGAAATAGCAACTGTGGGAAGGCAAACAAGTTTAGGGGAGAGTTCAGCTTTGGAAATGTTCAATTTCAGACACCTGCCAGATATTCTAGGCTGAATGCAATTGGTCAAACTAGGGCTTGGCACTTGGGGTGGGGGGTGGGCTCTTGAGTCTGAGATGCAAATGTGGGATCATCAGCATGTAAATGGAGTTTAAAGCCTCGGAAAGAGGTGGGATTAACCAGGAAGAGGAGTTCAGGATGAAAGTGAAGGAGACCTTGGACAGAGCCCGGCGGGGCTTCCTAATGGAATGGCTGGGCGAGCTGGAGGCTGATCCCTGTGGAGTCTGCGGGAGGCCAGCATCCTCAAAACCTACTCCTTCCTCCCCCAGCACCCCCCACCCCGGGTGTGGAGCTCTTAGCAGCTCCACAACAACTGGAGTCAAATTCTTCTGGGCAGAGGCTGTAGACTCTTCACTAAGCTAGGGATGCCTTCATTCCTATGGAGTCCGTCTCCAACCTTGGGGCCCGATAACCTACTGGATCTCTCCACCCCCCTTCTTTGCCCTAAATACATGGCTCTCTGTGCTTCCCCCCAGCCTGCTTTTCTCCCCCCAGCCTTTTCCTGAGTCCTCCCCCGTGGAGCCATCAGAGCCCCATTCCACTGGGAGCCTTCTTCCCTGAGTTTTCAGGTCCTACGGGCTCCCAACTAAAAGATGGTTCTCCTGGATTGCTTTACCTGGTGGACCCTTGTTAAAAAATACACATTTAGCAGCCCTGCCCCCAAAGATTGTAACTAGCTGGCGTAATGGGTTGAATCGGGAGAAAGATTCTTTGTTTGACCAAACTTTAGTCAGGCTCCTGAAACTTCTAGCTAGGCCCATCTACAGCTCCCTTGTAAAATCCCGTTTTAGCAAGATTCCCTCCCCCACCCTCAATAATCTAATTGGGTTCCCCACCCCCCCATCCCCCAGGTGATGTCTGATCATCCCACCCCCACCCCCTGGCCTGCCTTTAGCAAGAATCCTGTTAGGTCGGTTTTGCCAGAAACCCCCCCACCCCTGTTATTTCCTCTTAGTAATTTTCCACCCACGGGTCCTCACCCTGCTCCTTGACTATAAATTCCTCTTGCCCATACTGTTCGGAGTTGAGCCCAATCTCTCCCCCACTGCAAAATTCTCTTGCGATGCGGGGCGCCTGGGTGGCTCAGTCGTTAAGCGTCTGCCTTCAGCTCAGGTCATGATCCCGGGGTCCTGGGATCGAGCCCCGCATTGGGCTCCCTGCTCGGCGGGAAGCCTGCTTCTCCCTCTCCCACTCCCCCTGCTTGTGTTCCCTCTCTCGCTGTGTCTCTCTCTCTCAAATAAATAAATAAAATCTTTTAAAAAAAAATTATTTTGCGATGGTCCTGAATAAAGTTTGCCTTACCATGTTCAACCCATGTCATAAACTGTTTTCTTTAATAATTCTCGTGTCCCCCACTGGAGATGTGTTGAAGTATTAACCCCTGGTACCAGTGAATGTGGCCTTATTTGGAAGGGTCTTTGCAGGTGTGATCAAGTTAAGATGAGGTCATGGTAGATTAGTGTGGGCCTAAATCCAATGACTTATGAGAACAGGGAGATTTGGGGACAGAGACACGTGGGAAAAGGCCATGTGAAGAGTGGGGCAGAGATTGGAGTGAGGCACCTTCAAGCCAAGGAACGCCAAGGATTGCTTCTGGCCCCCAGAAGCGAGGAAGACCCTTCACAAGCCATCAGAGAGAGCACAGCCCTGCCAACACCTTGACTTCAGACTTCTGGTCTCCAGAACTGAGAGAGAATACATTTCTTTGTTCTGCATTAAGCCACCCAGTGTTGTGGTATTTGTCACGCAGCCCCAGGAAACTAATAGAGCTGATTGGGGGTATATGTCTGGGGGGAAGGAGTACTAAGAATCCATGCTTTTAATGGGCTCCCCTGCTGATGCTGGGGGGGCGGTGGGGGGGGGGGACACTACTCTAAAGAATTCTGCTTTCTCAGACACTCAAGAGGGACAGGAGATTGCCTGTTCTGCCTCCCACATTCTATGAGCTCCAAAGCAGTCTTGGTGACATGACTTGCCTCCTGTGCT